ATTCTCTCCTATAAATGCAACTTTTCTCACCTTGTAACAAATTTTTGAATATATGAGAATTTCTGAAATCATTCTTCAGCTAATTCCCTCAAGAGTCACCGAAAATTCCAAGAGAGAAATCCAAAGAGAATGCCTTCAAATCCCTTAGGAAAACCTAGTTTCCTTCACTTTGAAGTGAGCAATCCTTTGAGTACTTGAGCTTGGATACTTCCCTCTTACATTTCCGCAAGTGTTCATCATCCTAAAGTGTTCATCATTTTGGTTCAATCTCCATTGAAGAAGATCCGTGCCTAGGAGGAGCTTAGGAGGAGCTTGGTCATCACTTCTTCTATTCACTTCCATCAACTAGGCCCACTAAGCCTATGGCCCAAAATGCTATCCTATATGGTCCAAAATACAATACCAAAATATATGAAGCCTATACTAACATTATATATACAAAATATAAGAAAATGGCTATAACAAGATATGGCCCATGTAAAGCTCAACTTGGACCTTCAAAGCCCATCGGGCCCTTTGGGCCTTGACTAGCCCAAACCTTCATGTCTAGCCCATTCCTCTTGGATCCTTCAAGGTATCACCCATTGCCTTCCTAGGCGTGATTCCATCAGCCTGAGTTTACTATTTATAGACGTTAGACCTAACCAGAACGGCCCATTCTGGATCTAGAATGGCCCATTCTGTGTCATTCAATTATGAGTTAAATTTGAACCTGGAACGGCCCGTTCTAATGACAGAATGGCTTGTTCTAGATTTGAACGTATCTCATAACAAACTGCACTAGAACGACCCATTTTGGCCCGTTCTCAACTAGGGTTTTTGGGTCTTTTAGCAGTTTGGAACGACCCGTTCTAGTTTGGGAATGGCCCGTTCTATCTTGGGAACGACCCGTTCTGATTTTGGAACAGCTCGTTCAGGGCTACTAAACCAGGTTTTGTTTAGGCTTCAAAATCCCTTGTTGTCATATGGTGTCATCTCCATGCTGTGGGAGCTCCTTCTTTTCATAATAAAAGTCCACTTCATTGTTTTACAGGTCCGGACGAAATTGGGTGTCTACATATGGGATATGTTCCTATTTACTTTTATAACACTTCTTTAAGGATTTAATTCACAACTATGTTAACATGCACTAATTGTACTTCAATTAAACCTCTAAACACATAAGAATATTAATCACATGTGAGCATATGTGAAGCAAGTTAATTTTTCAACTTAAAGATTGCACAAAGTAAAAGAGTAAGGATGAGAGAGAAGTGCAAGATTATTTATCCTAGTTCAATCACTCTATATGTAATCTACATCCAATCCTCAATCACAACCTGATAAAGATTTGGTCCACCATCTCAATGAAGAAGTTTTACAATCACATCACACATGCAAAAGACTCCAACATACAAGATAAATCTTTTCTTGCACCCAAGGAGGTACTCCTTGTAGTAACCCACTACAAGAACTCCTACACTTGACAAACCTACTCAAGTATCTTACCACACAACACAAAAAGATTATGAAACAAATTCACCTATAACTCCAAACTCAGATAGATGAATTCTTTATCAAGTCTTTGTCCCTTTTCAAGAATGTAGATGATGATGATAATCTTTCAAAACATTTCACAAAGATGTTTATTTGTTGGATTCACAAAGAAATCTCTCTAAGAAGATCACACAGATCAAAATAGTTCACAAAGTTTCACCGAAAATCACTTGCTTGCATTTCTAAATGAGAAAACTATTTTTATAAAGTTTTTAGGCTCAGATAATCGATTATAATCACTCAAGAACAGAATAATCAATTATTTTACAGGATAATTGATTATTTTATAGGATAATCGATTATTCTAGAGAGTACATTCTGGGATAATTGATTATTTTACATATAATCGATTATTACAGCAAGATTTATCATCCATTGAAAAACAGAGCAGAAATAATTGATTATGTTTAGTAATAATTGATTATTTTGAGTTAGTTCTCAAAATTCAATTTCACATATCCAGAAACTCTCCAAGTTATTCTCAATCATCATCATATTAATTCTAAGACAATTAGGATAAAGATTTGACTCTTGCACAAAGCATAAACAAACATAAACATGCATTAGATTACATAATTGAACAACCAAGCAACAACTATACATAAACTACTCCTATTACATATTCATTCATGATCTTCAATCTCCTTTGTTATCATCGAAACACTTCAGAACTCGATTCACCATCCAAAAATCTCAACAGATTGCATTTAATGAAAGAATATACTCATATTCCTTAAAAAAAAGTACATGATGGATAAAACTTATAAAATACTAGACATAACACAAGATAGATGGTGGATTATTAAAATATTAATACATTACTCTAGACAATTAATTCAAATAACACCTTGTCACTGTTGAGCTTAGAAGAGCTTGAATCTTAAAGGAGTTTTGATGATCACAACAAGTATACAACAACAACTTGGAGCACAAAAACAAAGTTAAAGAAGCTATGAAATGAAGCTATGTAATAGAGCTTAGGAAATAAATTGTTTTGAATGTGTTTTTATATTTTGTGTGCTTTGTATGCTTTGTGCATAAGCAAATCTATATCTAAACTAAGTTGAGAGTATATGATGATGAATTAAAAAGATTGGAAACTTATTTTGAGGTATAAAATGAAGTTTTAAAAACTAACTCAAAATAATTGATTATCATTAAATATAATCGATTATTCCAGCTAATAGGCTAAGTGGAATGCCTTGCTGTAATAATCGATTATTCGCCAAAATAATCGATTATCCCAGGAACAACTCTCTGGAATAATCGATTATCCAGCTAAATAATCGATTATATTGTTCTTGGTTGATTTCCAGAAAATCTGAAGAACAAAATAATCGATTATTCTTTAAAATAATCGATTATCTGTGTCTGAAACTTTTATAAATAGTTTGAACTTTGAGAAACTTCAGACAAGGAGTTAGAACTGATAATCAATTTGTGAAAAACGTTTTTGTGAGTCTTTGTGACATCTTGGAGAGTTTTCTTTGTGAAATCCAAGAGTGAAAACGTTTGTGAAAAGCTTTGTTAGAAGATCATCATCATCATATTCTTGAAAGGGGAAGATAAAGATTTGTTCAAGAATTCCAGGTGAATTCGTTCCTTTTATTCTTTGTGAATCTTTGTGGAAAATCTTGAGAAGGGTTTCTCAAGTGGTAAGGTTTCTTGTAGTGGGTTCTACAAGGGGTGCTTTCTTGGGGTCAAGAAAGTGGTTATCTTTTAGTGTTGAAGTATATGCATGTGTGTGTGCTTGTAAACCTTCTTGCTTAAAGATAGTGGAACAAATCTTAATCAGGTGGTGATTAAGGACTGGATGTAGGTCACAAGTGGAGTGGCTGAACCAGTATAAAAGACTTGTGCAATCTTCTTCTACCTTATCTTTTACTTTGTGTAATTTCTTGGTTAAACTTTAAAGAAGATAAAACTTGATTAACAAGTGTATGTGAATCTTGATGGTTTAAATCTGTAATTGAACATTATTGTTGAACCTCATTATGTTGTAATCAAGTGAGCATATTGCATTCATATTTTCGTAACAAGTCTTTAGAAGAACTTCATTTGAAAATTGTGTCATAGAAAAGTTTTGATTGAAATTAAGATCCAAAATACTCTGATAAATTTTTAAAGGGTCATTGAATCCAATTCACCCCCCTCTTGGATTGTGCCATTCTTTTCTAACAGTCACTACTAGAGAATTACTATTCTACGACAACAATTTTACATCGGTTCTACAAAAAATGATGTAAAACATGAACGCGGTGACATTTTTGTAATTAAATGTAAAAGGTTAAGACATTTACATCGATTTTATATAGGACCGATGTAAATTTGTACTATTCCACATTCATTTTTGGATTAACTGATGTAGTATTGAAAATGCTCTATATCTACTCAACATGACCGATGTAGCATTGAGGTCTCATTTCCAAAACCCTCTCTAGAACCAATCTAGAAGCACATTAGATCATCTTCGTTCTACTTCTCGAGCCAAATTCTTGATTCCTTCTCTAGCATTCAATTCTTCTGAATGTTCCCTCTCGTCGAATGTTCCATCTCGTCAAAATCATTTGCCCTCTTCGAACCGGCACTACTAGAAAAACACTATTTCACGTCACAATATTTACATCGATTCCCTACAAAATGATGTAAAAAAAATGTACACAATTTCATAAATAACTTGAATAAATAAGAATATTTACATCGATTATTCTATATAAATATAACCAATTCTACATCGGCTATACGAGTGACCTATGTAGAAATGAAAATACAGGTTTTGTGTTGATCCATGTAGAAGGGGTGACTAAATTCTTCCCCGCCCTCGCGCCGTCGCGACCACTCAGTAGATGCGCGCTCACCCTCTCAAGACTCTCAAACCTAAAACCCTCTCTACAGTCAAAAAGTACCAACTCACGCACTTCCTTGGCCGCGGGAACTTTACCAAGGTCTACCAGGTGCACTCGCTGCTCGACGGCGCCACGGTTGCGGTAAAAGCCATCGACAAGTCCAAGACGGTCGACACCGCCATGGAGCCTCACATCATGTGCGAGATTGACCCATGCGCCGCCTCCAGCACCACCCTAACATCCTCAAAATCCATGAAGTCCTTGCCACCATGACCAAGATCTACCTTATCGTGGACTTCGCCGACGGCGGCGAGCTCTTCTCCAAGCTCTCCTGCTGCGGCCGCCTCCCAGAGTCCCTCGCGTGCCGCTACTTCGCGCAGCTCGTCTCCGCGCTCCACTTCTGCCACCGCCACGATTATAAGTTGGGGATGAACGCTTTTGACATAATCTCCATGTCCTCGGGGTTGGACAAGGTTCTCTCTATGCTGGTTCCCTCTACTACAAGGTTCTCCCTCTCTCTGTTTCTCGTTCTCTCACTTCATATTCTTTGCCCTTTTTATCCTTATTTTCATTTTTTTTCTGCCTTTGTAGTCCTCTTTGCCTGATGAAGCTGTGTATGACAAGGAGAGACCTGGAGTTACAGTAAGTCTATGTTTATGAATAATTTCACTTTCTAAAAAGATATTATTGTTTATTCATGATTTAATGAAGAAAATCAAAATATTGTGCCTTTGCAGTGGCCGAAGCAGTTAAATGCTCCCCTTGCAGCCGTTGATCCTGAGATTGCTAATATAATTGAGCTTGAGAAAGCTAGGCAATGGAAGGTATATACTCGTTCGATAAATTTTTTCATAACAACTTGTAATAGCATAGAGGAAGAAAAAGGAAGAAAAATTAAAATAGTTTTTTAGTAACTTAAAAATAATTCATTCATAAGTTAAAAAAGAAATTTTATAATTGTCAATTAGAGAGAGTTTTTACAATTATCTAATACATAAGCTAATTTTGAACTGTGAAGGGGCTGGAACTGATACCGTCTGAGAATTTCACTTTTGTGTCTGTCATGCAAGCGGTTAGGTCCATCATGACCAACAAATACAGTGAGGGGTATCCTGGTGCAAGATATTATGGTGGAAATGAGTATGTTTCTCTCTCTCTCTCTCTCACTCTGCATCTACTAGTCTAAAGTGGGTAACTTGGGAGAGTAAAATAAGAAATCTCAGTTGTTGATAATGAGATTAAGGTTTAATTATAATTTAGGTAATGTAATTTTATAAGCTTTGGCTTTTATTCTCTATAACTAAAAAAATTTCATTTTAATTTATATATATATATATATATATAATATGAAATTTAGGAACAAAATGTTTATTAAATCTAAAATTAATCAACCATATTACTTACTTTATGTATATAACTATGATAATTTATGAATATCTTGAAATATTAATGGTTGATTTTTTAGTCACTAGTGTAACTTTATCTTTACTTGCTTTAGAAGAGTAAAATAGTGGTTGGCATTTTGGATTTTATTCACATCGATCCAAACTCAGAAAAATTGTGGATTTTTCCTTTTCAGGTATATTGACATGGCTGAAACACTGTGCCAGAAGCGTGCCCTGGAAGCGTTTAGATTGGATCCCGCTAAATAGGGAAGTAAGAACATGAGATATATAAGTTCTGTTAGTTCTCTTTATTTGATTCAGAATTTGCCAACCTAGATGGCTAAAATTAAAATTTCTCTTTTTCCTTTCTGCTTAAGGCTCTAATGTTTCTTGTTACAATATCAAATTAATTTGGTAGCCTTCTTGTAAATCTCTTTGTTGTAAGATTAACTTCAAATTTCTGTGGTTTAGTAGCATTGGTTACGTGTGTTGTGTATTTGTATTGGTTGTTGACTAGAGTGTGCGTATTTGAGCAGTGGATTTGGCTACTGGTTGTTATGAACATGCTTGCAGTAAAACACCTTAATATTAAGGTTAAACACCTTAATATTAAGGTTAAACACCTTAATATTACAAAATAGTATACAAACAACATATACTATTTTGGCATTAAGTTTTGTTAATTACTTTGTTTTGAAGCAGACAAACGAACTTAAGAGCCTTGCAAACAAATGTGCTGAACAGGTTTTGGAAATCAACTTGTTAAGGTTTTGATTTTAAATTTAACTTGAGTTAAACTTTTAGTTTTGCTTGGTAACAAACTAGAGAATTTATTTTGCATTCAAATCAAAATTTTGTTCTCTTCATTGTATTTGGGTAATTTGATCTTGATATACTATCGTGATCTTGATATGCTATCGTGAACTTATACTTTACATTGATTATGGTCTTGCTTCATTGACACACTTGTGTAGTGTCTATTATTTTTTCCCCCCTTTTATAAACCCATATTTGTGTGTTTAATTTGGGAGAGAAGTTTCTGGTGATGAGGAGTGGAAGGTGGATGGGCTAAAGTTTATATAGTTGAAGACTTTCTCTTTTGGCCAATATACCATGCTGCATTACATAGATGGCTGCATACCCTGGGACGATGTGTTAGGCTAATTGGAATTGCTGTATGGAAACAATATTTTTTATTTATTTCATTGGTACCATTTGTTTATCTAGTATGGGGTATTTGCAAAAATTTATGCTACATCATGTTGTTTGGGAATGGCCTGATTTGTGGTTACACTTCAGTTGGGAATGATAATTATTTTGTCTAGAGCTATATATATGTTCATTACAGGTAATAAAAAATAATCCAAAAAATAAGTATGATTTTTTTTAAATGCAATCTACATTGGTTCTCAAGAAAATCGATGTAAATTTAAGTATAAATCTACATTGGTTGTCTAGAGAACCGATGTAAAAATGTATACATTTTCTACGTCGCTCTATTCTACATCGGTTTTAGAACCGATGTAGATGACTTTAGAGAACTGATATAGAATATGCATCTTGTAGTAGTGTGGTTCCCTGTCGTGATGACCCACCTCCCTTGGAACCCTCGACAATGTTGTCAATAGAGAGTTTAGAAATGGTTCCTTTTTTTGTTGGTTTAGAACCCTTCCCAGAAACATGATATCATTCCCCTCCTCTTTGGAAACACAATCAATTTGTTCCAAATTAAGGCCCTCTTTGACTGTGATGACGACGAAACCTAACGATTGCAAGGTACAATCCTACATTCAAATGAATTTCTTTCTTTTCTCTCAACTCCTTCCTCTAATTTCACCAATTCTACTAAAAGCTAAACTCTTTTTAATGATTTTTTTTAGCAACAGAGGTTCTCCGAGGGGGAAGTGATGATTAGAAGGGTTAGAGAAGAATTAGAGGGGGAAGGCCAGTTGAAAGGTAATTTTGCCACCTTGTCTCCAAGGTTCTTTTGTGTAGTATTCTAATTGGGTTAATATACTTGGTATACCTTGGATGCATCGAAGCTTTTTCGGTTTTTCTTATGCCCATCCACTTATGCCAGGGGCCATTTTTGTGGGTCTGTGGGTCTGTCTCTCAAAAATTGTTCAATTGAATGATTTTTTTTATTTCTCTGTTAATATCTTCATGTATTAATCTTTATCAAAATTATTTTCGGTCCATTTAATTATTGAAATAATCAACATCAATCCCTTGAATTAGGTTAAAAGGTTTTGAATCAATCATATGCCAAGAAAACATAAGACACTAATTTAGCTCTAAAATGTTGAAACCAAAATAATATATACGTTAGAATAGTCTTTCTACATTAATTTTAGTATCAATTGAAAGTTAAATTTATACTCAACTGATTGAGTTTTACTTTAATCAAATTGGTAAAAGTTAAAATGACCATAAAATGTGCTATTTATTCCCATGTTGTCTTTTAGTGTTAGTTTCCTGATATTTGTATTCCACGTGTATGATAAATTTCCTTAGTGGCCTTGTTTTTATCAGTAATGGTATTTACTGAGTACCAACACCACCAAACCTATATCTGTTTTTTGCTTGAGAAGATATAAAGTCTTCGATAACTGTAAAATATAATAAATAATATTACTTTTGCCCAAAAAAATTGATCTAACACAATGAATTTAAAGGAAAAATATATTATTTATTAACAGGTTGGCATTAGCAAAAGCCAATAGTTGGATGGCTTGTGCCCAAGCTTTGTCTCTTTCATTTTGGGCAATTTAGGTTGTTAAGTGTTGCTTTATTTTGCACTCTGTTGAAAACTCAATTTTCTGGTGTGAATGAATTACTCCATCATGGAAGAACAACACCTTTTTATCTTTCATTCTAAGGCGTTGAGATTTTAAGCATTCTCATTCATTAAACCCTTTAGTCTAAGTTTATATTTGGAAAAATATTGGTAAAATTAATTTTGATTAAAACTATATAAAGATGCTTTAGCTTTAAAATCAACAAACACACTAAATAGGTGCAGCCTCTAAGAAATGCATGTATTCAATTTTTCAAAGTTGACTCCAAGTCATCAAATGCAATGACTCCGTGAGTCAATGGGGCAAAGCCTATTTATGCATGTTATAGTCAATCTTGGATTTGAGGATAAACGAGTGATTAACTAACATGTTAGTTCTAGACATAAATAAAGTTCAGTTTCTCAAACATTTCATAAGCAAAATCTTTCTCTGTAAGATACCATTAACTATGGGATGCAACAGTTTGTTTTTCACAAAATATTTTGATCTGCAAAGGATGCAGAATTTCTGTGACTGTCTTCATTATTATTTATGGTATGGCTACTATGGAGATAGTATTGGAGTTAGAAGCCACGTCTACAACATCGGAGCTTCGATCAGAGGAAATTGCAATAAGCAATAGTGGATCGTGGCAATTATCATGTCATTATATTATGCTAAGGTATTGATTTTAATGTTATGATAGGTTATTGTTGAAGAATATGAAACTTGAAGAATATGTCTTGTATCTAGATGTATGGTTTTTTACCATGGTAAGATGAATCATGTTGATGGATACACGTTGAATAGCATAGTTGATATTGGCATGGACTATATTATTAATCAATAGTTATCCTTTCCAGTGAGGTTCCTAATCACAATAGATTATGAGAATATACAATTGATTTCTTGAAACATGAATTTTGGAAGTATTTTTAAAAGCCAATCAATTTCCATGAATCCAAATATTCTAGACTCTAGAAACTAATTGGAAAAAAAAAAAAAACATTTAGTAAGCTATCTTTTATGAATGCATTAGAAAACAAACCTACATGAATGGCTTTAGCAAATGAGCGAGTGATAAAGATATGGTTTGAGTGCTCAAGATAGGCATCATATAACTTAGTACATGGTTCTTCTGTATTAATTACATGTTTATAAGATTAACATAGGTCATGGTTTTTCTGCATTAATTACATGTTTATAAGATTCCCATTATTCTAAAATAAAAGAGTCAAACATCTAAATACTTACAGTTGTCCTTTCAACATCTCTTGATTGAATATCTTACAAAATAGAGTGTAATGGGGACTCAAATTCTTAAAAATACTTCTACATGTATTAAAATAGTATATTGTAAGTTTGTAACATGATTATATTATATATAACCATTTAATTAAACTTTACTATTGGAATATAATAATAATCACTATTTATTAGCATGTGCGAGAGTGAGAGAGGCGAAGGGGAGGGGGGGTCTAAGGGGTGTAGGGTAGGGAAGAAGCCCTTATCTATTTATGTTTCTTTAAGAGCCAAGTAGGCAGGCCAGTGGGTGGTTGACTTTGCAACTCTGATGAGATTGACATAATCTTTATTTCCCATTTTTTGATATATATATATATATATATATATATATTCATAGCTGTATTAAGAATTTTAACTTGCATGATAAATTTTCATCTTTTTTTCTAATTTATTTTTAAATTTCTACCTGTGAAGGTTTTGGATATTTTTTGTTCACATTTAATTTTTGTTGGGGCTTGTTCATGCTGTTGCAGATGTTGAAAATTTCTAGAGCCAATGTGATCCTAGTTAGTTACCTTCATTTTAAGTTTGTATTATTTCTTTTAATGGTTTGCAGTTAATATCCCTTGAGTAATTACTGCAATTAGGTTAATATGTCAACATAACTATTTTACTTGTTTTAATATTTGATTTTCATTGTAGCAAGGGATGTCAACTTAGTCAACCTATTGTAATTTGTTATGCTTTTAATCCTTTTTTATTTTTTTTTAAAAAAACTAGGTTCCCAATAATCTCTTTCTTTTTGTATTTCAATTGACAATGACACTTTACCATCCTCTATCATCTATGGTAGACAACTAGTGTTAAACAACTCAAATGCTTCGCACATACCTACACATCCCACTCATGTATCTGCATGTCTTTATTACTCTAATAAACTTGATTCTCTTCCTTCTCAACAAATTGCATGCAATGAAGATTCATTAGAATAGGTATCATTTTCATTTTATTGTAACCATTTTCTTTTCTATATATAAATAGTCTCATATATCACACTTGTAATCCATGAATTAATTGTACAATTTAATACAGTTTTATCTTCTCATTCCTTTTTTTAGTCATGGAATTGCTTCTTATTATTCTTTATATATGTTTAAGACTTGCATACATATTAATTTGTTTTCTTTTGTAGCTATTTTATTTTGTATGAGTTTAACATATCAGTTATTTTATTCTTCTAGAGAAGGAGAATTTGTGCTTATATGGATTACGTAATCAGCATTGGAAAGTAAATTTAACTATTGAAGAAGTTCCTTTAGAGCTTCCTGAGCCTGTTCTGGACATTAACTTTGTTGGGGATGACATCCAGGAAAAAGATTGGTTATCTTTAGTAATTGTTCATAGTTACACATGGTTATTTGTCCTTGCCTTTTATTTTGGAGCCAGACTTGGATTTGATAAAATTTATACATAAGTATATATATTAATATTTTTTTGTGTAATTTTTGTTATTGTAATTTGGTGGCCAAGTTAATCTTGATGCACAATATTTGTCCATTATATTTATATATGAAAAATCTGTCTAAGATTTATATATATGTTCATTACAGGTAATTAGATAGAATCTAAAAAAAGCATGATTTTTTTTTAAAAAATGCAATCTACATCGATTTTATAAAAAACGGATGTAAATTTATCCATAAATTTATATCAGTTTTCTTGATAACTGATGTAAATTTATCCATAAATCTAGATCGGTTTTAAAACTGATGTAGAAAGGTATAGGTTTTTTAAGTTACTCTATTCTATATCGGTTTTAGAATTGATGTAGATGACTTCGCAGAATTGATGTAAAATATGCATTTTGTAGTAGTGTGTATTACGTGATGGTATGTGACTTTTATTGGCGTATTCTACGGTCTTCCAATTTGTATTCTTTTAAAGGTATCCAGAAATTTGTATTAATTTTAACCGATTCAGCTTCAACGTTTGTGAGAATAAGTCGCAGGATGACATTTTTATTTATCAAACAAAAGAACTTTTTGTTCTCTCAAATTTGTATTTGCCAAACATTTTCCTGTCAACATTTCCTTTTTAGCCATTAATTCTCAACTAACTTTCCTGTATGGTCATCAACTTTACGAGCACCTAATATGAAGCCATTGCAAGTGATCTACCAATTGATATGCCTTTTTCCATATAGTTCGCTTACGGTACTAGGCCAGCAAGGCATTAATTGGTAGCTTAAGGTTACAAAATGTACATGGGATGAAGCAAACCAGCATCATAACTAACTAGTCTATATCAATCAAATTTGCTAAAAATAATATATATCATGCAAAAAGAGCATTGAAAGACTTGTATTTCCTCCTGAAAGATGGATTGCCTTCACCATTTACAGCAAAGAGAGAAAATTAACAATAGCATTCCCTTCCAACAAACCACCAATACATGCTTTAACTGATGGTATAATAACTAAATAATTAACATGCATATATGGTCTTGCTCGAAAAAGTGGTAAGGCCTAGCTATTCTAACACACAGCATGAATTTCCATGTGGCCCTCAACTCTTCAAAAAGGATTAGACAACCGCGAAGACGTTGAATCTCATAATGCCAAGAGTGATTATTCAATGATTAGTGTTATTCAGATTGTGACTGCAGAGAGCAGTGTCTCCCTGATAACTCACTTGAGCAGAAAAGGGTCTCTTTTTGTCGCAAGAATCCTGCTGTAAAAAACTATATTGCTCTGAAGAATTTATCTGATCAAGTCGTGTCTTCAAATATGGAAGATTGAAAACAAAACTAGAAACCATCGGCACAGTTTGGTCTGATTTTAAAATCCTCTTGGCCTCAGATGAGCAACTAATTTCATTGGTTGGACACACTGCTTCATGATCACCGTTACACACTTTGGCCTAAACATGAAATTGCTTTTCATCTGGCATTAATCTTGAACCAAAAATGAAGCATCACTACTTTCCATGGCGAAAGGTAGCAATTGAAACTCGCAATTGTTTTCCAACCTTGATTCCATCACACTACTAGCTTGAGAATTCTCCAGGATTGACACAGACAGATTTTCTTGATTAACCATCTTTGAGCTGTCTAATAACATCCTCCCAAACTTATAACCAGTTTCTTTGGACCCTTGATCTAAGCAAGTAAAATCTTCGGCACGAGCTCGTGAATGGCATGAATCAAAACAAAATCTCTGGTTTGTGAAATCTTTATCCCTTAAGGACCACTTCCACTTGTGACATCCCAAAGTGTTACCATGTAAGGGACTACAACCTTTCTCCTTTTCCACATTCAGTGTACCTTCAACCTTTTCCCTTCCACTAATATTTTCCCTGGGGCTTGTTATGTCATTAGGATTACCAGGAAATGGATCCAAAGGATACTGAGACATCACGGCAGAGGTAATGACTGTATTAGAAGTAACTGGTCTGCATGGAACAGAAGTAGATGCTGTTCGAATTTCACATCCAAGTAATTTCCTTTTAGCTATATTTTGGGCAGTGGGTCCTAAATCTTTAACAAACAACATCAAGCTATCTATGTAACCAATATCTTGTTGATTTACCTATGTAAAGAATAAGAAAAATAACAACAATGTATGATCAATCCAAACAATTTATATGCATTTCGTTAAACTTCATTGACGCATTACACAAGGAGAGTAAACATGACTCACGTGCTTAAGAAATTTCAATTTACCATAAACGGTTGAAAATATTGACTTATCCTTCTCAAGGGACAAAGGTTTATATGTACAACGCTTATCAATCTCGAAAGATCTGCATCTGCTACTACCTTTAGTACCTGATGGATAAAATTTAGTTAACCAGATAGTTCTGCATTTTTCTTTATATGTTCAAAATACACAAATCATGATAGAATATTTTGGCTGAACAAAGGACATACAGAAGCTTTTCTGCTAAGCCTTGCTGGGGGAGATTTTTCATATTTTTTAATTTACAAAGAACATTATGTCAAAGGAAGTAATTAGCTGGTAGAATATCCAATTGAGTACAAGAAGGTTAGAGTAAAATAAGAACTAGGGGGCACAACACAACAAACTTAGAAGCTATGGAAACACATATCAAAGGTAGTAGATTATTCATGCTTTTATCCCACCACATGCAATAATCAAATGGAAAGTCATTGTTTAGTTTCAATACCATATAAGATGCAACAAAATCTGCTTCTCAGACTAGACCTTCGCTCTTACCTGCAATACTTTCAACATGTCTAGCTTCAACATCCTTAGCAATGTCAGAACATCCATCATTTGCCATGAAGATTTTCCTGATTGATGTACCACGAGAAGAACATGGCAAAGTTTTTGAGGGGACGCCAATGGCTATTTCACTGGATTTCAGGTCTGTTGAATCTCTAAAATCTCCTTGGTTTTTCCTACCTACTTTTCGCCTTGTTTCTGAGAATTCCAATTCAAACTTCTCAGGATTGTTTCTTAATAGATCAAAAACTTTCTTAGCTAGTTCATTTATAATACGAGCCTGCAAAATTATAGGGTTAATAAATCATTTCATCAAGATAAATTAAAGATTTTATTGTAAAGCTTAGATCGCAATTTCACTAGCTTTATATTCCATACCTGCCTGAAATATATAGTACCAGAAGAATTAAACTGCATCGCGTTGTCAAATATTAAGAAAACATCAAGCTGCATAATGGTTCAAATATGTATTAGATGATGAACCAGGCCATCATAGCAGTTTATGCATACATATTTGCTAATTGCTACCAAATACTAATAATGTTAGATTAATGCAAGAGACAACCAGATAAGTAAATATATATATATATATATATATATATATATATATATATATAAAAAAGAACTTATCATTAATTAGATTGAAAATTCCTTCCTCCTAAATCATATGTACAAAATTTATTTTAATCTAAGATGATTTGATACTTTATTTTTATAAAATAAAATTGATGTATTAAATATATATACATTTCAAAATATATTAAAATATGATCACTTTGATTATATTCAAATTTTTATTTAATTTTAACAAAATTTGATATACACATACAAGATTATATGATTATAATTTAGCGATTGAATTGACGAAATTCACATTTAATTAAAAGTTATTGAACGACGTAATAGTTGATAAAAGTTACATCGATATTATTTGAACTTCCTATATATATATATATATAATAAGGATTGTAAACCTCAAATTGTTCTAAACTCTTGTACATCCCCTCGTGTAGTTTAGCTCTCATGGTGCCAAAATCCATAGGCTCTTTAATGATTGCGTAATAATCTTCAACCTAAGCACAAAATTCCATCAAGAAAGTGAATTACAAGGGAATTTCATGTAGTATTCACAAGATACTATGACTAATTATGACTACACACCTCGTTTTGATCAACTGGTTCTGCAAATATTTCATAGGTATCTCTCCTGTATGAGTTTAAAATATATATATTTAATTTACAAGAGTCAACTAAGGTTTTGAAATGGTAACATAACAATGACAAAAGTAATGTACACCTTTGTAAAGTGTCAAGTACAAGTTGAAGTATTCGTTTTTCTGGCAAAACTGTTGAAGATGGCAGTTTTGATGGTTTATCTGAAACATAATCATGTAGTAAATTAAATATGTGCTAGGAGTTTCATAACATAACAGATCGAAATTTTAGTCAAGTACAAAGCCAACTCAGTTTGATGGTGCAAATGTATAATTAAGGTTATTAGAAGACCTTAACTCACCATCACCAGTTTCCTTTTGAATATCTTGATGTCGAGAATGTTTCACAACCTGCACAATGGCTTGTGAATGTGAACAAAAATAATGATCAAGCAAGGCATGAAAAATGTTAATAGTAAGGGTGTTCTTGACTTGGTCCGTACCACTAATCCCACCTGATCCAAAAAAACGTTGGACATGTTGAGGTTTAACAAATTGAACTCCATGTATTTTAGGGACATGTTCGAGTTATTCTTAGGATCGTGCCAACCCAGTCCAATTTCAAATATTTAATGATTTTTAAATAATTATATATTAATAATATAACTTCTTAGATTAATAAATCATGTTTTGTCTAACACAATATTATTTAAATTGATATTATTTATCTGAAAATATATATAGTAAAATATATGTTAATTATAGTTGTAAATTTTTAATTTTAGTATAACTACATATAATACTAAAATTAAAATATATGTTAATTATGCTAACAAATGAAGTTAATCGAGTCATGTTCTCATATTTATAATGAAGTTAATTGAGTCATGTTCTCATATTTATTGATTTTGATCGTGTCAAATTCGAATTCTCAAAATTGAGTTGAAAGAAATTTCAGGACGGGTAACCCCTCCCATGAACACCCATAATAAATAGCAAACAAGACCTGGTTTGGTGAAGGTGTGAGTTGTTGAAGTGGCCTCAGATTTGTGTTCTTTCTACCCCTAGTGCGAAATGCAGGTCCCTGACTCGCTGAATGGCCATGAGCCTCAGCCTCCAATGCAGATATTCGGGGGCTTCTCCTTTGCCCCTCTATTTTTTTCAATTTTCTGCCTCACACAATGACAAATCCAATTTCATAAAATGCACAATTTACTAACAAAATGAAAGTGAAAAGTGAACTCACCTCAATCTGCTCATGTTGCATTGGTAAAGAGGGTGAATGATCAAGGCTTTTAAAAATAGAGCATGGCAACCATTATATGTTTAATGTTTAATTACTACTGAATTTGATCTTGGGGATATCATATCAAAAAATGCCAAACTAGGTATTAGTATGAGTATTGAGATATGTGAATTAATTGATCATGATCTTGTACTAATGTTTGTGGGGGCATAAGATCAAGGAATTTTCTTTTTCTTTACGTGGTTTTGTTCTTCCGGGAAGGCTCGTGCCAGCCAGTGCCACATAGTTTACCACGATCACTAGATTGTTACCCTCCGTAAAAAAATAAAAAAATATAATATAAAAGCCTGTTTTTTGGTTACACTCCATTTCTCAACTCAAGACAAGTCAAAATTCCAACACTCCTTCCTTCTAATTTATATTTTTTTACTTAAAATTTACTTTTAAATTAAAGTTAAAATAAGAATATAAAAAATATACTATTTTAAATTGATGGAAGGTGGCTTAGTTCCATGCACGCCCTTGATCTTGGTTCAACAAGGGAGACTCCAAAAGATGATTTAAAAAAATGGAGGAGATGGTGGCGGAAGCACTAAGGTGA